TTTATACATTTTGGCGGGCTTTTCAAATCAGAAAGAAAGCGGTTGATGATTTGGCGCCGGTATTTTCCGGCCTCCGCCCCGGGCCCTCTCCGGATTGGTGAGTGAAGCAGATATCTGATTGGGAATTGAAATTATATTAGGAGATACTGAACAACATGACCAATCAGCAATGGCCGCACCCCCATTCCTCCCGAAGGTATAAGAGGGCGGGTTGCAGCATTCTCTGTGAAAGTGCTTGTGAGATTGTGGTTATGTCTGAGAGAGGAAAGGGCGTTGGTGGGAAAGCTCGCTCCAAGAGGAAGTCCCGGTCGTCTGGCCTGACCTGCAGTTCCCGGTGGGCCGTGTTCACAGGCTCCTGAGAAAGGGTAACTATGCTGAGCGTGTGGGTGCCGGAGCGCCGGTCTATCTGGCTGCGGTGCTCGAGTATCTGACGGCTGAAATCCTCGAGCTGGCCGGTAACGCGGCCCGGGACAACAAGAAGACCCGCATCATCCCCAGGCACCTCCAGCTGGCCGTGCGCAACGACGAGGAACTCAACAAGCTGCTGGGAGGGGTGACCATCGCTCAGGGTGGGGTGCTGCCTAATATCCAGGCCGTGCTGTTGCCCAAGAAAACCGCCGCTGGGGGCGCCACTAAAAAGTGAAGAGACTGTTATTTCATCTGACGACCCAAAGGCTCTTTTAAGAGCCACCCACAGTATCTGTGAAAGAAACTGGACCCTCACCACTGCCGAGTTAATTTTAATTTCCTTTGTATTACTGAGAGATCGGTAACATAATATTCACCCTGCCATCAATTAGTGTTAATGAGCTATAACCGCCTGGACGGAATGTATCCATGAGGCAGTTTCCTGTAATTGCATTGGAAAGATCCGACACTGGTGGAGGAGCATCAATAAATTTAGAAATCGGGAAATAATGACCCCGCTCGTCGCAAAGCGATTCAGTGTCTCTTGACATAATGTTTTCGACCAGATATAATTATCTGCGGTACTGTACCCCCTCCGCATATGCTTTCTTTTCCCAGCTCGGGTCTCCGCTTTCAATGTGAGGTTTTGGGTGGCTCTGAAGAGAGAATGGCGGTTGTATGTTTAGCACTGAAGCAGTTGTTGAACGTGTGCTGTATGTTGTGTCGAATGTTTGATTTAAAGACTTGAGATTGTTTCATTTGTTTTATTTCAACATTGGTTTTTTGATGAATAAGCTGAAACGAGTATTTAAAACAACCTAGCATCTAATCGATGGTTCTGGCGATTTAAGTCCAGGATTACTGATACCAATGTTCATGGAGTAGAATTTAATCGAGTGGATTGTCATGATTTGTATCTAGATATGTGTGTAAATTACAGGCTTCAATATCCTTTCGCAATTTAGTGGTGTACTGTTTGCAATGCTCCCTAGGTGGTACTGTATCATATCACCTACAATCACGAGTAAATAGTGAATATGAGACATACACCTGCACCCAGTGGTGAGATGGGAGTGAATTCATCCACCCAGGAGCTTTATTTGATTGCAATTTTTGTTTTATTTTATATTTAGACAATCGAGATTTGAAAGTCATAACAGGTTAGTATGGAATTGGAGAAACTGTTTATTTGTGGAATGAACTCAAATGAGTGGCAGATGGAGTTTACATCAGGTAAATGTGAGGTGCTACTTTTTGGAAAGCCAAATCAGGCCAGAACTTGCACACGTTGATGGGGAATGTTGCTGAACAAAGAGACGTTGCAGTGCAGATTAATAGTTCTTTGAAAGTGGAGTTGCAGGTAGATGGGATAGTGAATAAGGTGTTTGGTATGCCTGTCTGTATTGGTCAGTGCATTGAGTATGGGAGTTGGGAGGTCACGTTGCATCTTTACAAGACATCTGTTCGGCCACTTTACCAATACTGTGTATAATTCTGGTCTCCCTGCCATAGGAAGGATGCTGTGAAACTTGAAAAGGGTTCAGAAAAGATTTGCAAGGATGTTGCCAGGGTTGGAGGGTTTGAGCTGTTGGAAGAGGTTGAATAGGCTGGGGCTACTTTTTTTCCTGGAACCTCAGCAGCTGAGGAGTGACTTCTCTAGAGGTTTAGAAAATCATGAGGGAGATGGATCGGGGGAGTAGAAAGGTGCTGTCCTCGGGGTGGCAAAATCCAAAACCAGAGAGGGTATAGTTTTAAGGTGTGAGGAGGAAGATAATATGTGACCAATGGGTGACTTTTTCAGAGGGTCGTGCATGCGTGGAACGAGCTGCCA